CATAAATAACAGATATAGGGGTCTATTTTGTAACAATTCCTTTATATTTAACGGCCTTTAAAAATATTTTCTTCTTTACTTCTGTCATTATTTAAACGGATCTTTAAAATACATTAGAGGACTATCTTAAAGAAATCTGTTTAAATAATGACAGAACTAAATTAACGAATACGAACATATTTTTAAAGGCCGCCAATATTTTTAAAGGCCGTTAAATATAAAGGAATTGTTACAGAATAGACCCTATATTCCATAAAATATAAAAACAGCCCCCCATAAAGTACCCCCCCAGATGTTCCGACTTCGTCCAAAATCTAATCATTTCACGTCAGGCCGAAATAAAACTTAAGTTTAAAATTTAATGTTTTTTTCTTTATCCGTTTTCGAGTTTTCTTCAAATTTCGAAATTTGCACATTTTCTCAAATATCTCGAATACGGTCCATTTTAGAGAAATTATGTAAAGAATAAAAATTATAGAGAATTATATTACAAACAACTTTTGTTTGAACAATTTTTATAAAAAAATATTTTTTTACATTTTGTCAAATTTCTCGAATACGGACCATTTTAGGAAAATTTTGTATAGAACAAAAATTTTAGATAATAATATAAGAAGTAACTTTTATTTGAAGAATTTTCTTCCCCAAACGTAAATAACAGATATATTCCATAAAATATAAAAATGACCACCTATAAAGTACCCCCCCCCCCCCCCCCAGATATTCCGACACTGCCCAAAATCTAATCAGCACATTGGACGCTGGAACAAAGCTTAAGTTTAAAATTTGGTGTTTTTCTGTGTATCGGTTCATGAGTTATGCGACACACAGACATCATCGCGAAAATAGTCAAAACGGATTCAGGGGACCTCAAAACGTAAAAATCCGTCGAAAACTCGAGGTCGAAAACTCGAGGTCGAAAAAAATCATGATTCCTATACTTTCCTTATATCTGTATACAGATAGGAAAGTAAAAATATGGTTTAGCTCTTTTCGCCATCAATAAGACGATAAATGATCTGGAAAAACAATTATTATTCCATCTATCATTATTGTTGATTTGAGCTGCTCTAAACTATGTAAGTAAGTTATTTCAGATTATGTTTATCTTTTATTAGATACCATAGAGAGTTTTCAGTTTTTATTTTCAATTCTAAAATTTTTTATTATGAAATCGTTTTGTTTTCATCTTTTTCTTTATCGGATATTTAACCGTTAGCATCATCGGAATTTTTATTTGCTAATGCTGGAAGTCACGTAGGTTTTTTCAGATTATTATGAATCATTTAGCAATTTGTTTGAAGTTCAAATACATAAGTACATCGATCGAAGCGATGAAGAAGAAAAAGTAAGTCAAATAAATTTAAAAAACTCTTATTTTAGGTACTTTTCTTAATATTTAATTAATTTATTTTCGTACTTTACAGAACTTCAAATTTTATAAATTAATTTCAAACATTTTCTTACGAATTAATACATCTTTTTATAATAACCAGAGATCAAATAATTCAATCTACATAAAAGTTGTTTTAATCGTTTTTGTATTCTCGTCTTTTAAGTCAAGCCATATAAATAAATATCTAAGGGAGTCATATGGGCAGATGTAGTAGGCCACCACACGTTTATTTCATTCTATTTTGAATTTAAATATTTTCAGTTTTAATGGAAAATTGTTATTTCTTAATTTTTTCTTGAACTGGGTACTACCGCTGAGTAGCGACCATAAGGGGGAGAGGGGGGCGTCCTGAATGTAAAAGTCAGGTTTTGTGTTATTACCAGTATTTTCTAATTGTATTCTACAAAATATTAATAATTTGATATTATCATTTTGACATATTTTTATATTATAATAAACAATTATTTAGTTTATTTTTCTCGATCATAAAAAAGGGGCGGCTAATACCACATGGATATTAGCTAATCTACGCACAGACTACAAAACAAAAAAGTATGATATTGCGTTCAACTGAACGTATATATTTTTGCTGCGTTTGAGAATCCACATCGGATGCATTTTTTACATCTCGAGCGTTTTTTTATCCACATCGGACACATCAGTCCCATTACATTTACGTATACTGAATCACGTGATCAAAGATTTTTTACATCTCAGATGCATCCGATGTGGATTCTCAAACGCAGCAATAATATCCATTCTAGGTAGTGAGAAAACTGCAAAAAAATTAAATCCACCAATCACAGTTCATATTTGGACACTCAAATACTATTATTTTAAAAATTTTAAATAAGTGACAATCTGTCGAACTAATTGTCAGTATATTTTTTAGTTATTGAGATTAAATATTAAAATGAGTTATTTTTGTGTAGAATCGATAAATACTAGCATTTTTATTTAGTGTCCATTTTGAAAAAAAAAATTAAATTTTAATCAAACTTGAAACTAACTTAATTACGAGATGAGGACAGAGCATCTGGCTTCCACGCGAAAAGCCCGGGATAGAATCTGGGCTCTGGCACAAATTAAATTAATTCTTTTTTTTTATTTTATAAATTCGTAAAATTTATAAATTATTTTAAAATTAGTTTGCCTTAAAATCCTAAAATAATTTTTTAGATGTGTAGATTTTCGTCAATGGGTCGTAGAAAAAATATACTGTACAACTCGAGTGGATTGTCCATATCCACTCTTGTTGCACAAACTACTATTTCTGCTCAATAATTCTAGTGTTAATGGCCTTACTTTCTAATTTCTTATTGTAACTAAATCACAAGTGAATTTCACAGCTTTTATTATAGACATTGGAAGCGAAATTGGGATAGTAGTTTGTGTAACAAGAGTGAATATGGATAATCAACTCGAGTTGTACAGTATATTTTTCTTTTAGGTTATTAAGACAAAATAACTAATTTTAAAATAATTTATGACTTTTACTATTTTATAAAATAAAATAGACAAAAAAAAAGATTTAATTTAATTGAATTTGTACCCTGTCCAGATTTGAACTTAGGCCTCTCGCGTGTAAGACAGACCCCCCGTGTCCTCACCTTCACCGCCTCATTTAGGATTTTAGTTTTAATAGTCGTAATTGGATTAGTTTCATATAGTTTGATTAAAATTTATTTTTTTTTATTTCAAAATGTGGACGAAATATAAATTTATCGATTCTACACAGAAATAACTCATTTTAATGTATAATTAATCTCAGTAACTAAAAAATATACTGAGAATGAGTTTGACAGAATTGTCACTTATTTAAAATTTTAAAAACAATACTAGTTGGGTGACCAAAATATGAACTGTGATTGGTAGATTAAATTTTTTTGCAGTGTTCTCACTACCTAGAATGGATATAAAATATATTTTCCTACGACCACTTTGGAAAGTGACACATCACACTATATAGTCCTATGGAAAGTGCCCTATATCACACGCGTATGAATAAGAATTTACTTTCCACCCGTGTACGAATATGCTACTTTCCGCAGCAGTTGTCATAAAATGTCAAATGCATCATTTCTATTTTGATATTTGTAATGTCCATATTAATACTAAAATCGATATGATTGTTAAATTATTGAAATTGTTCCAAATTAGATCCTAGATATTTATCTTTAACAATTATTATTAAAATAATTTTAAAATAACTAAGATATATTTGCTCTTTATTCTGGTTAAACACATAACCGATTAGATCATTAAATTGACACATGGCCTATTAGCTTAGGTGGTTAGAGCGTCAAACTTATGTGTTGTGAATTAAATGATTAGAAAAAGAAAAAGGATTTTTTTAATAAAAATGGCAAGACGCTACTATTGACATTACAATAACATTGAAATTTAAGTATTGCGTCAAAACATAGATAATACTGCAACGTTTGTTTATTTTTTTATAATGTATTTATTTAAAAAGCTTTATTTATAATTAATGTATATAATACTTGGGCACTCACTCATAATTCTAATTTATTTATTACCGTTTGTCTTGACTATCCAACACTTAAATTAAATTTGTCGTCCGTCGACAAACTCGCGCTATTTATATAAAGCCAGCTCTAAACCAGAACACTCGGCTTTCCAGAACGATCAAAAACTGCCTCTTTATGACTCATACGTTCAAAGCGATCACTCCGGGAGCTTCTCGAAGCGGTGCCTTTGTCCCTATATGGCGAGCGCTAGACTTCATACCGCGGGCAAGGAGTAAACAAAGTACAAAGACGGCTTCGCGTCACAATACAATCAAAACTAATCTTAGAGGTTGTTACTGTTTTTAAATGTAGTTGTATTTTGGATTTTAAATGTAGTTGTATTTTGGATTTTAAATGTAGTTACAGATTTAATTTTATCTGAAAGGGCATTATAATGATTTAGTAAATTTTGTATTGCATTCTTGTAAACCAAAAATAACAGGGGACCTAATACTCTTTCCTGTAGTACACTTCTGATATAGCTAATTTCTTCTGATAATGTTATTTATTTTTTCTTTGTTTCCTATTACTTAGATAATCTATACACCATTCCAATGCTTTGCTGTGCTCTACCAACACTTTATATTTTTTATATCAAACAGTTTTGATCAACAGTCTCGAATGCTCTTTGAAGATCTATAAAAAATAAAAACTGCCAATGGTAGATCGTTTTTTTCAAATTTATATTTCCAGTCAGATAAGATCTACCGAATAGCTGATTCACAGTTAATACTTGCTTCTGTATTTTAGTAATAAGTTTATTAATTTCTAAAAAATTTACAATTTGATAATTTCCAAGGACGAATTTTTCAAATTTAAAAGTTGTTCTGAGAGATTTAAAAAGCAAAAAGTCTATGCCTGTGTAACATTTGATAATCTAATATTGTGATGTATACCATATTAACAATCGATTGGACACTCTCCATAAAATTTATTAAGAACAAATATTTTTTGTATCATAATTATTATCTAGTTCAAATTCGATTAAATTATTTGACTAAATCATTTTTATTAGTTGGTTAATGTCATTTCATTATTTATAGTTTGTTTGTTTTTTATTTCTTGTTTATTAGATCCAGAAGGAAAAGACGAGATTCGAGTTCAGATAAAGACCAGTCTCATAATGATCACTTAAAAACTGACTACCCCAGACAATGCTACGGTCCCAAATGCATCAACAGCGCCCGTTATGGATCCAAATACTGCTCAGATCAATGCGGCATGACTTTGGCGAGAACCAGAATCCTTCAGGCTCTTCCGCAACGTTTGCAAGAATGGGCTTTGAGTCCGTCTTGCGCAGAAGAACATAATATTAAAGGTAAATAAGCATTTGCGTTTAAATTATATAGAAAATAGGCATTTCGGAAAAGTATTTACAAAAAGTAATTTTCTAGCGCTCGATCAAGTGCGAAAGCAGCAAGTGGAAGTCCAACAGATCCTCCAAGAGTTGGATAAACGTCACAAAGAGTTGGACATCATCGTGGAAAGGGCAAAAAACGCGTCCATCGATCCGAATCAAGAAAACGAAAACGAAGACGATTCAGAAATATCGACTTACTGCGTCACTTGCGGACATGAAATTCATTCGCGTACCGCCATCAAACACATGGAGAAATGTTTCAATAAATACGAATCTCAGGCTTCTTTCGGATCCATATTTAAAACGAGAATTGAAGGTAAGTTACAAAAAAGTAATGTAATGGTCGCCATCAGCCCAGAATATTTTTTCAATAATTTTGGGGGTTCAAAAATTACTTTTAATACATAATTTTGAATATTTTATTTGGTGATTTCCAAGGAATTTATCTACCTTTGTTTTCAGATCAGTACCTGTAAAGTTTTCGGAAATTTAAAACTATTTCCATTTTTTTTTTTTTCTATGAGTTGGTAAGAACACTATCATCAAACTGATAATTCATGTGTATCCCTTAAATCACAGGTGCATTAAAGGCTGAAACACAGTTAAAATTTTGGAATCGAATGTTTTTTGTTGTGGGGATTTGGGTGGGGAGTGCATGGGATTGTGGGAATTGGATACTAAAAGGAAATTAGGTGTACAAATTTGTCCCAGCGCTTTATCCCTAGAATTTATTTGTACTTAGAAAACACATTTTTTCAGGCAACAACATGTTCTGCGACTTTTACAATTCCATCAACCGAACTTACTGCAAGCGATTGCGAGTACTGTGCCCCGAACACTGCAAGGATCCGAAAATAACCGAATACGAAGTGTGCGGTTGTCCGTTGGTCGTCAACGTGTTTTCGCCGACCGGAGAGTTCTGCAGGGCCCCCAAGAAGTCCTGCACCAAGCATTTCGTTTGGGAGAAACTCCGTCGGGCTGAGATCGATTTGGAGCGAGTGCGTCAGTGGTTGAAGATCGACGAGCTGTTGGAGAAGGAGCGTCAAATTAGGACCAGCATGGCGAGTCGGGCTGGTGTCTTGGCTTTGATGTTGCACAGCACTTACAATCACGAGTTGATGGAGAGGATCGCCGCGCAAGGTTTGCAGAACGTGCCACGGGATAAGCAGGTGAATTCCAGATATAGTTAGATAGTAGTGTTAAAATTTGTATGGCAGAAAATGAGGGGATTAATATATTCATTACCGCACTGCGTGTGGTAAAACGACTTTTAACAGCACTCAAATTAGTTTGATAATGACATCAGTGTAGACATATATTTTATTTACATAAAATTGATACAGTGGCAATTTAATCAATTGGTACAGTACTTTAGGTGCAAGAAAAGTTGACTTGAAACTTAACGTCACAATGAAATTTTAAAATAAGACTAATATTGATAAATTTGTTCATTAAATTGGGATTTATTTTAGGTGTAAATGAATTGTCTGCATTTTATTTAATGCAAATGGAAATATTTCTTCTAATTTTTGGATTTAGCTAGCTTCCAAAAGGTAATTCTTTAATTTCTTATAGTTGCACCATTTTTCTGTCATAAATTATTCATATTTTGATGAGAGATACTTAAAACTTAATATAATTAGCATTATTGTAAGTTGATTAATAAAAAAATTATAACATTCTCTGATCTTTTACTATTTACTTTCCTTACCAAATATTTGATGTATAAAATTATATACCTACCTCAATTTTACTAGTGCGAGAATTTTATATATTGGAATGCTTTTAGCTCATAATTTTAAGTATATAGTTTGGCCGAAAGATTAGATTTATATTATTTTGGCTTGCTCAGTTCATTCATTAATAGTATAAATAAAAATCTGATGTGTCCAACACATGACTTTCCTGTCTAGTTATTACATGCTTTTTCCGATTATGTTGTACAACCCCTGTAAATGTTGAGAGGATAAACTAAATACACACATATCGGAAATTTTTTTTATATATTGTCAACAAAAATACTTTTTCTCAATTTTTTCCATTACGGTCTATTTTAGAGAAATCATGCATAAAACAAAAATTTTAGAGAATGATATAGCAAACAACTTTTATTTGAAGAATTTTCTTCTCCAATCGTAAATAACATTCCTTAAAGCATAATGTACTTTCCCAGATGCTTCGACTATGCCCAACATTTAATCAACTTGCCGTTGGATAAATTAAAGCTTAAGTTTAAAATTTTTAAAATTTGTTTTTCTATTTATCCGTTTATAAGTTATCGAGTATACAGACATCACGAAAATAGTCAAAATGGATTCAGGGGACCCCAAAACGTAAAAATCCGTCAAAAACTCATGATTCCTATACTTTTCTTATCTGTATACATACAGACAGGAAAGTAAAAATTTTAAATAAACTTTCAAAACAAGCAACTTATAATATATAACCGCATATACATACAGCACAAATTGAAAGGGATATTCCTTTGGTCAAAGTAAGTAAAAATTTCAATAAACGTATGTCGGGAATCACTTTGTTTTTGATATATAGGGTGTTAGTTCAAAAGAAACTTGAATGTCAGTGTTATCTTCGCTTTTCGGGGAATTTTCTAAGGGTACAGGTGTGGTCGATAGGTCAGCATATACCCCACTACAAGTGTAGAAAACTGCGGAATTATATATCTTCTCCTTACTTTCTAAATTGATAGATTTTCAGCTGCTTGACCAACTTCTGCTTTGGGTATTCCCTCAGCAGTGGTGCAAATCTTCGGATTTTTGTAGTTTTAGCTTGAAATTTTTTATCACTACTCGAATTTAACT